TTCATTTCTTTTAACAAAGAAATCTTGGAAAGCTTTTGAGTTCTTTTGAGAGAAGTGCATGATATGTCAGTCTAAGCATGTAAATACTGAAATCCAGAAACTGCAGTAAGTTTCCCCAAAGAGTGATAGAAAGGAAGAAAAAAGGGCAGGACAGGGTGGGAGGGAGGATGCAGAGGCTGATGGCAAAAACAACTCAGAAGCCAGATTCACTGAAGAGTTAAGATTTAGTGCCCTCTGTTTTACACCAGTGTGGGTGAAAATCACTTTTGAGGCCCTAATGAAAGTTGAAAGTTACCTTCAGAAAGTTATGCATATTTCAACAGAAATAAAAATCATTATGCATTCTCTCTAAAGAGGATACAATCTCAAACTGTCAAAATTCTAAACTCTTCTACATATATTACATACAAATGCCTTCTATAAAGAAACCTCTTTTCATTTTTCTTCTAAATTAGCTTAGTGGTCCATGGTATTACACTACCTTGGTCTAGCCTGTGAATAATGTGACAGGTAATTTTTATACTTCTTGCCTGTACTTAAGTTTGAGTGAAGATACGGAAAACAACTTTTATGATCTAGGTGTAAAAGTAAATGTTCTGTGAGTCCTGCATACCCAAACGTGGACATATAGTATGAAATGTTTAATGATGATTATGTGTCCATCAGGAAATTTAAAAAAAGTTTTCTGTTTATTTTTTTTTTAATAATGTACAAGTGCAGCAGGTTTGTTTTTTTTTTTCCCGAAGTGATAATGCTAATGTTGATGTAACCTACCACATTATCACAGAGGGGATTTCAGTTTCTATGTTATCAGACAGGAATCATTCTGTAACAGGATGCACTGAGAAGGATGAATAATATGCAGATTACATGGGAAATCATCCAACTATAATTTTAAAAAATGGATTCCTCATGAAACTATTGACTGCAATGACACAGAAATGGAAGGTAACAGCCAATTAATTTCCATCTTGAAAAAAGCTCAAAATACACTGGGTACCAGCTGAAGTTTGCAAGTGATGGAGCTCAAAATGCCAAACAGTTCAATGATAAGTTTGAGTTACAACGCTGAAGAAACAATCTCTGACTGAAACCATGGAAAACCTAGTTTGTATTTTCTCTACTACCCAAACATTAGGCAGTCACAGCAAGTCTCCTTTTCTCAGTCTCTGTGATTACTTGTGCTCCAAGACTTCAGTAGCTATGCTATAAACTGTGCTATGAAAGAAGTAATCAAAATAAATTAACTTGTAACTAGGGGGTTGGACCTTTTCCCTTCAGGGAAGAAACCCAGTACTACCCAAACACAGATCTTGTACAAACTACTTTTCCCTGTCTCCTTTCATGAAAGAAAAAAGGCCATCAGAATGTTAAGTCTAGCAGAGCAAACTACACTTTAAGGTGCTCCATCAAGAGGAAAATTAAACACAGAAAATTATAGAGATGATGCTCATACAAAAAGAAAAACAATACAAATCTTAAGGAAATAAGGGAAAGTAGTATGAGAAACAAGGTGAGCTCTAAGTGATAGGCCAGTATTTTCTGTTACACAGGCACATAATCCATGTATATCCATTCCAAAATGAGAATTCACTGTCATGAATCCAAATAGAAACCGAGTTAATGCCCTTGAGATCACACACCACCATACCCAGTGTTTTCAGAGTTATTCCTAATTTAGTCAGGTAACCAAGAGCTGAGCTTCAGTCATGTAAACAACATTATTTTGTTTACAAAGTTAAAACACCACAGGTGAGGAATTTCTATCTAAGACACCAAGCAGAGTTGTAATGAACAGGCACTTTATCTGTTACATGCATGTATTTTCTATCATTGTGGAGGACATGGATGTGTTATATTGTTACACCATTTTTAGGTTTGAAATTACACAGTTATACAAACAGGACTAATATTTTCAAGAGCACAGAAACAGTCCACACATGGGAAAAAAAAATCAGAATGTACTCACCTGTTCCATGTTGTTATTTCTGATGTACCAATGCTCATAAGATTGAGTTATTTGACTGATAATACAGCTTTTATGCAGTACAGAGAGTGACTAAGACAAGTCTTTGATTTTACAGCTCCCTTAGTTTATGTCACTCCTCCTTGTTGCTGTAAAGCTAACTGAATATGTTTCTAACACTATTCTCTGCTGAGGTGAGAACTTAGAGAATAATCATGGCTTTCAGTAGCAGAGAAATTGTTTTGAAATCAACTCTGGAGACTCTACAGTCACTTGGATGCACACTAATCATTATACTGAATAGCATAAATCCTCCTGAAAGCAAAATAATCAGCAATATTAGGAAAATCTGACCTGCTTGTCACCTAACACATTACAAGTGTGACTCTTATGTGGAGGAAAAGCCAGTGCACCAGAGGTAAGGAGAAGAAGGCTTTCTTCAGCAACTGCAAAAGAACCCTTAGAAATTGGGGCAATATTATGTGAGAAATTCTTCCAAGTTCACTTTGAAACTAAAACTCTGCATGTTTTCTGCTGGTGAATAAATGAGCTGCATTTCACTTTTACAGCAGTGGCTGAATTCTCAGAATGCACTTTACTGGCTCCCAGACCCAACCATGGGCATTTGCCAGGCAGATTTAACCTCCCCGAGGCTGTGCTTCACTGTATTACGTAATTCCAAGCCAGACAGCTTTACTTACTCTTCTGGCCTGAATGTTTCCTCTTACAACTTTTATTTCCTCGTATTTACTCCTCAGGTTCCTGTCAATGAAAGGCTTTTATAACCTGCTCTCTGTGGACTGGCATTGCCCTGGCTGGGTAAGAAATGCATTTCTAAAGCTGACCTGGAGCTGCTGCTCTGGAGGAAGAATACAAGCACAGGTCTTGGGCTTTTTAACTCTAAACCAGTTTTTTTTTTCAGCTGTGGAACAGCATCAGTTTTACCTCACACTGCATGCTGGCTGACAGGTGGGTAAAATAAACAAGTAATGTATATTCCAAAGGAAGAGTGATTCCTGAGTAGGTCACAGCAGTGAAAGAGAGAGAAGAGGAAACCGACCTGCCAAAATGATAGCCTACAAAAGCACATCCAAACAATCCATTTCTGAACCTGTTTGCCCAAATCTTGGTTTGCAATGAAGCTGACAAAGCTGAGGCCTAGTTAAAAAAGCTGGATGGAAACAAACAAGGAAAAATCCCTTCCTGCAAACCAACAGATCTTTATCAGCCCCTGCCTAACAGAAATTCCTACAATGTTTATTAATATGGATGTCAACACAGAGTAATTTGTCTGCCTTATAATATCTGTCAATAAACAGAACCCACAATAAAAAATGGCAATAAACAGTAAAGAATAAACAGATTGCTTGTTTGATAGAACATAGGAGAGACAATAAGCTAATCTTCCAGAGGACTGTTAACAACCTGCATTAATAAATTACAAAGATATGGCGAATAATCCAAATTTAACCATTCTGTGTAACTTCACTTTTAGGGCAAAATTCCATCCTCTTGCCAAGAGAAATTTACACATTTTGCCAAGCAGATTTATTTCTCACATAAAACAGATCTCATGGGGTCAAGGTCTCCTACAGTCTGAGAAGTGCAGTATGTCTACTTCAAGACTGAAGATTACACTTACCAAATTTATTTCAAGGAAATGATTTTTCAAGAAGAACAAAAGCTGCATTTTTAACAAAGAACCAAATTTAGAGTGTCATGTTTAAGCAAATATAGAAATACTGTCTTTTGTGATTTTAATTACATTGATGAGTCATTCTGAGAGACAAAAATGCACATTTACAAGGTTAACTGAACATGAAGAATAACTTCAGATTAAAGTAGACAATAGCCAAGGGAACCTTCAGTGTTCATATTGTAAATGTTGCTGGGAAAAATTATTTTGATATACTGAACTTTGAAATTCTTTCTCATGCATTGTAGAATGCATGTACATAGATCTTGAATGAAAACCATGTGGAATATCTGCTAAGTGACAACAAAAAATTCCTCTGGACCACAAACCTTCCACAAACATTGCACTCACACATGCCCTCAAATTTTCCTTCCAGCCTTTTACCTTATGTTTAATCTGAAAGAAGAAACTTTGCCTGGTAGGTGCCATGATGTTTAGAAACAGAAATCTCCTTATTTATATAAATGTTTGACTTAATCTGTTTTAATCTACACAACAACACGACAGCAACGCTCCCTATTTGGCACATGCCTGCTTTGTTTTGCATATGTGAAAGGGAATCATATTAGCATGCAGAGTCAGGAAACATTCCAGCTCAACCCAGCCTCAGCTTCACTCCCCAGCTTGGAAAGAAGTGAACATAGGAGATGAGCACAGTCAAGAGAAGAAGGAAGAGAAATGAGGAGAATATGCATTCAGTGCATCATTACATTTGCCTGAAAACCACACCTCTTCTCCTGCCTACTGTATCTTGAAATACCTAATGCCAGGCTCAGGTGACCAATTGATGGTGAGTTTGAGATGCCCAGCTGCAAATAAACTACAGTGGTGAAGGTGGAGGAAGGAAAAACCCTCCTAACAACTTATTTGTGTCCAATTCCAACCTGAACTCCCAACAGCTTAAAATGCCTCTCCCTACCACCTACCTTGCAGAGGATGAAAAAAACATGTTGTCTGGAAAACTCCAATCAAGCATACAGATCTTTACCACCAAGGTTTATGAAAATGGATATAATAGTTCATTTTGAAGGCTGTCACATCCTACAGTGCAGTAGAAAAGTACATATCAATCAATACCTTTTCCTCTATGTTGAAAACAGTCTGAAAAGCTAGGTTAGATAGCATGTAGCCTATAAAACTATCAGCAATGTGTATCTCTGCTTCTTTGAATACCACACCCTACAAAACCAGACACTTTGAAGCTCTGTGGTAATCCTCTGATGATCTGAAAAAATGCACTTAGAGGAGATAAATTTCCACTACAACAGGATATAACCAGAGAAAACACAATTCTATCTTCTTTCTATTTTCAGGTTGTCCATTTTTAGTCATAGCTACCTCTGATGCTTTGATGTCCTCATAGGAAAACTGCGTGGCAGGTACTCCAAGGTGGTTGATGAAATAATCTGAATCTCCCTGTATCTGCACAGAACTCACATTGGATGCTGGACATCTAGCCTTTTCCACACAGTTGAAGCTCTGGCTCTGAAAAAAACAAACACAAATCAAAGCTCTACTTAATTATTTGCAGTCAGACTCTTGAAGACTTGTAGCAGAATCTCATTTAAACAGCATTCTTTGGGTTGAAGCTAAATGGCAGAGTGAAATTTTGCTGCAACATGACTGAGCCTTTCAGAGGTCAAGGAAATTCTTATGTAACTGAGATGGCAGGAGAGGCAAGAGAAGAATTAAGGCACATGGAATGTCTCGTGCTGGCCAGAAGATCAGAAGGCATCATGGTGCCTTTTGGAAGATTTTGAGATCTTTAATGGCTCCTTAAGGAATCAGTTCTTTATTCAGTTACTAGCATGCTCTGCCACAACGAAAAGCTGAATGAGACTATCATATTCAATCTGTGATATTAATATATCTATGAAATGCTAAGGCAATGTCAAGAATTTCCCACAATTTCAAAGTAGACCATAAAAGAAAAACTGAATTAAAAGGCTAAAGATACCTAACACACATCTTCTGTGTAAGTAATAGATATTTTCTGTGTAGGCTTCTTCAAACAATTCTAGTCAGTGAAATCTTTGCATTTCTTTCACGTATTTAATGGTGAAATCTTAGCAACAGAACTGTAATAAATATGGAAACTGGAAATCAAGCCCAGACTGAGTGCTACGTACTTGTGTAGCTTTTAAATCTATCAGGTAATTAAACACTTAATAAACAGTAGGCGTAAAGGCTTTCAACATCTATTACAGCAAATAAGCTACTTAGGTTTCTTTTCAAGAATATTAGGAAGTTGAAGTACTGGAGATTATTTGCATTTAGCTAACAGTTTATATAGTATAACATAACATCCTCATCTCTACCGACAAAATTACAGGCTTTGTGAAAGAATAGACTAAGACTGGTTCTACTTTAACACGAAAATACAGCAAATTCTGTATATTAAAGTCTCCAAGGTTATCAGGAAAATGTTAGACAGAGAAAAATCTCGGTATTTTCCCATTTCAAAATTAGCATAATTATTGCTTTACAGTTTCATTTCAGTGCCATGAAGAATGCAATTGCATATTACACAGTTTAAATAAAGGCTGCAGAGTCTCACAGAAAATTATTTTAAAATACCTTCAAGAAATAGCTTCCATTTCATAAGTAATATTGAAAGTTGGCTGTATTACTTCTTTTTTTTATCTGTTAAGCATTTCTGCTCATTCCATTCTTACATACATTCACAGTTGTTCAAGTTCTGTCCAAAAAGTTCTAACAGAAATGGCAGAAACCCAAACAACAAATTCATTGGAAAAGGTGTTTTTAATAACCACACTTGTATATCCTGTGGTGTGTCCCACTCAAACCCACTGCACAGCACACATGCAGGCAAAAAGCCATAGTTATGATTTTATGGACATATCTGTGCACAAGATCCACTGCTCCTTCCAGGAATCAGAAGGCATTTAAGGATCTCCCCGTGTCCTGCACTGCAGCACAGATCAGACTCCCCTCACCTCACACTGCCCACCACAGCTGGGCAAGTTCCATGAATGATGAGTAGCCTGTTCTTCCTGTAATGTTTAAAGAATGATGTGTAATTGTGAAATACAGCTTTTGGCAGTTAATTCTGAATATCCACTAACCCCCATTCCTACCAGCCTACCAGGAGCTGAAGAGATGTCTTCCTACAGCAACAATGAAATTTATTTTTTCTTATTCATGGAAGTTCACACATGAAATGTTTACAGCTTTGGTTAAGAGACCATAAAATATGCTATTTTGGGGGTTTTAGATCACTGTCCTTGAGGGTATAGGATTAATGTTTTTATGACAGCAATGTTCAATTCAATAGTTCAGCACTTTTAAGAGTTTGACTACTTTATTCCGCTTGCACTGTTCTGACACACAAGCCTCTGATAATGACAAGTTCAACAATAAATATTTAACCCAGCACCAATATAGGAGAATGCTTTACATGCAAGATGCTGTGTGCTTCAAATCTGTTTTTGTTCTTATGCAGACTCCACAACACCAGCATTCTTCAACTCCCTGGTAACAACTGCAAAGTTCATATAGTGTGTTTTATATTCATTAAATAAATGAAATTTTTCCCCAGACTAATGGACTTAAATGGTCTACAATTAATAAAACTAATAAAACTGATAAAAAAAATTAAAATGTATCTAGAATAGATACTAGCAACTAGATATTAGCAACACACAAGTAAATCCCATTTGTAGAGTAGCCAAACTATATTTCTTCAGCTGGTTAGCCTTACAGGAAAAACACAGACTGGTTGTATTTAGAGCACTCAGCTGCTCAGCCTGGGCTCCACTGTGCCACTCAAACCCTTCCTTCAGACTGGAGGCAAACCAAGCCACTGGTGAGCCAGGAATCAAGGAGTGCTTCATGTCAGTGCAAGGATTCACACACTATTTGTAATTGAATAATTTTATTTCTCTGGAGCTCGTTTTGGGTTTTAGCACCATCTTACAGGTTTATGTTACAAATCTGAGAAAATGAAGAGCACCATATGGCCAATTAAATACATTTAATTTGAGGTAATGTCCTAAAATAGCTCTGACACATCTGAAGTATAACCAAGTGGGACTTCATTGCAGATCTTATTAGTTAGTTCTGGTTCTACTTTTCTTTACTTGACTCCAGCTTCACTTAAAACATTACCACCTTTTGAAAGTGGATTAAAACATCTCAGGAGCTTTCAACAAGGCAAGTAAAGAATGAACAGTTATTCTTACAGTCTGTCAGTGATCTCAGCTTCAGAACTACAACAAGGAAGCTCATTCTTCATGAATAGTCAATCTCTATTTCTGAGCTGAATCACCACCTGTGTCAGGGACTGGCACAATTAAGAACCTACAGTGTAAGAGACTGTCTAGAGGAAGTAAAATTGTCTAAAGAAAGAGCTACAGAATTTATTACATTCATCACAGACCTTGTAGAAATGTAAAAAATAGGAGATGAGCATCTTTCTTACTATAAATATGTAAATCAACAACAACAGGTAGTAAAGGCCAGAGAAGCTGCACAGCAAAGGACCCACAGGTCTGTGACTCCCATCTATAAACACCTGCCACTCTAGCAAACACATCCTAGAGACAGAAGGCTTGATGGTTCTTAAAAATATTATTAGATGACTACTAAAGGCTATTGAAAAAACAAACATGGAGTTCCTAGGAATTGTATTAATTCCACAGCAAGAATACTTCTCTGTTTTCTCCCTGACTGTCAGGTTTGGTTATATACATCCTGTTCTGCTCTGTCTTTGTTGATTGATTATACATATTGCTATTAATGCAAACCAGCTCCTCATGAAATTATTAGGGAGATTTAATATGGAATTTTGCCCCATAGACATCAAAGTGCTTTTCAAACCAACTAAAGGCAATCAAGGTACTTAATATTCCTGTCTTGCCCAACATCATAGAGAAAAAAAACTACATAAAAATTAAATGCACAGCATTTCCCCAATTTTGAACCTTATCAAACTGACATGATTCAAGTATGTGCATAAAAATAACTCTAAATTATATTCACTCATTCTTTCTCTGTAAGAAAAGAAAATCTAAATATGCTGGTGACAATTAATATGCTATAGATGGAGTGCAGTTGTGGTTTAAATAGACTGAATGTTACACACCACTAATGTGATGTATTTGCCTATTTATACAATGCAATCATTTGATTACCTGATTAAAGCTACTCCTAGAAATCTTATGAGGTAGGGTGACTAAGCCTTGCTGCATTTAATTAATGTTATATTAAGATTAAAATAATTAAAAATTAATAAAATGCTAGTTCCTTAGTTTCTTAGCAATTTTTCCTTCCCACTTATGCTTATTTTCATTTAAACATGTATGAAGCCTTACTGAAAATATTAAAATCTTAACATTATTTAATGACCTTTAAGGGCAACATGAAGACTCTGGTGAAATTCTGTAGCACTGCAAAACCAGTCACAGAAAAGAGAAATTTAAATCTCAGTAATTGCCCCTGGCTTGGGTTCTTCAGGACTACCACAGTAAAGTGAGAGATGTTCCTTCACACACACATATTCCATTGAGAGGAACTTGTCACCAGGGAAAAGCAACTCCCTCGAGAATTGTGTTTGTTGAAAGTCATCAGGGACAAGGAATTCAGCATCCTCTGAATCCCTCTGATACTCATGGCCAGTGCAGGTGATTCTCAAACAGTTCACCAAAACTCCAGGGATCACCATTAGACACCTAAAATTCCCCCACCACCAAAATACTCTGTGTTTTCATACACAAAATCACCACACCTGGAAATGCCAAGAGTAAACAATTTCCTAGGCTGTGCAGAAAGGTAGAACTGCATTTTCACAAGAAAAAAACCTGCCTTTTGGATAAACCTCATGGCTTTAAAATAACTGTTCTTTCAAAAAGCCTGCAGGTATTCAGCATAACAGAGAAGGCCTTTTTCACCCAGAGGGGAAGAAGAAACTGAAAATGGTGACCAACACTTTCAAAAGGTCAGCTCAAACCAAGATTAGCCAAGACCCAGTTCTGATATTGTATTCAGATTTCTGCTGAACCAAGGAAAAGTCAGTTTTCACTGACTTTTCAGCAACACAAGCTGCCAAAAATAAAACTAGAGTTCAAAACTGCATGAAGCAATTTTTGTATTTCAATGGTGACTTTCTAAAAAAATGGAAATTACAATACCATTAGTTATAAAACAAAGCATGGAAAAATATCCATGCTTGGAACAAAATATTTAAATATATTGTTATGTGCTGTACTACTTTGCAAACTGGAGTTATTTTTTATTTAGTTTACAGCTAGAAAGCCTGAAACAAACTTAATCCTGTAATTCTTGTTCAAGGTTTTGTTTCTATTAAGCAGTATTAGCATACCTTTAAATATTTCTCTTATTTAAAAAAACCAAACAAACAAAAACATGACCATCAGTGTAAAGTCTTTATAATAAATGGTACTTCATAGGACTAAATCACATTTTAGTTGCAAAATTTACATCAAACTAGTAGGAAATACAAAAGC